GAACACGTCTCTCTTTCACCTGCCCCGTCGAAACTCGTCGAATTTCGTCGTCCCGAGACGTTTTTTCCAATTTTTTTTCCTTCTCACTCGCGAGCGCTAATTGCTCGTTCGCCGCGGAAACGAAGGAGAAAACGCGTCTCTCTCCCTCGAGATGGAGTTTTCATTTCGATCGGGCTTTGCGTCGGGCAAATATAAAAAGAGAGGAAGTGGGGAAAAACGAGAAAGAAGGAGGTAACAGGCACTTTCGACGGTTCCAAAGAGAGACCGCGACAAACATTTGCACTGCACGGCATTTGCGAGCTGCTGGACTCGAGTGCGACTGGCACTCGGAAGAAAATAAATCGCCGGCCGACCCGCGGAATCAACTCGCTGTTAATACAGTGGCGCCCCACTCGAGCGCTCGCACTTCGGCTCGCTTAAGCGTCCGCCGCTATCCCCACTCTTGGAATTTCGACTATCCCCACTCTAGGCTACCTTACTGTGGCGGCCGCGCGAAACAGGCATTGCATGACACCGATATTTCGACCCATTACGACCGTTTTGTTGACACGTGTCGATCAAAGTGAGACGAATAGCAAATACCAATTTATATTAATACATATACATATATTAACACGATTATAAAACCGTATTACGAGTACTGTTAATTTAATATTGATGGAAATATACAACAGGACCTTTTACTCAATTATTGATAATTATTGATTAACTATCTTTATAGGAATTCCAATAAATTTAGATTAATTGCTTCGTCAGTTTAGATGCTAATTATTGCTTTGAATTTCAATAAATTTAGATTAATTGCTTCGTCAGTTTAGATGCAAATTATTGCTGTATTTAGTTTAAAAGCATGCGTGCATTAAATTGCAAATCGTTTAAATGCATTCAATTTAAGCAAAATGTTAAAATGTTGAATTTCTTGTGCATGTATGTAATATGCTTGTAGCGTGTATTGTAACACACATTACTAGTTAATAATAATAATTAATAAATATATTCTATAGTTAATAGTTGATAAATGTATTCTAATAGTTAATAAATGTTAAAATGTTGAATTTCTTGTGTATGTATGTAATATGCTTGTAGCATGTATTGTAACACACATTACTAGTTAATAATAATAGTTAATAAATATATTCTATAGTTAATAAATGTATTCTAATGGTTAATAAATGTTAAAATGTTGAATTTCTTGTGTATGTATGTAATATGTTTGTAGCATATATTGTAATACACATTACTAGTTGATAATAATAATTAATAAATGTATTGTATACTACACAAATAATTGTAAATTGTATTCTATAGTAGTAACTATTATTACTGTCATATTACCATCAAATTACTGTCAATTGTTATGTAATAACAACAGTTAGTAAATATACGTTTCAGTAGTTAATAAAAATTACTAAAAAGTTACATTAGGCCCAGAAATTGCAAAACATGTTGAAAATTCTAAGTGGCCCTAATTTTCTAGCCAGCAACTGTAATTAACATAAAAAACTTCCACCAGATTTACGATCAAAGCGAGCTATATTAATCTACCGTGGAACCACAGTAAACCACGTTAAACTCTGCGCTATTCTACATTGTTCTCTACTCGAGTCCACGCTGCTTCACACTGTTCGCTGTTTTATACCACCAGTGCTCTGTTCACGACGGGGCCAAATCCACATTTTATGTTGATTTTCCCTTGGCGCTCATTCTCTCTCTCTCTCTCTCTCTCTCTCTCTCTCTCTCTCTCTCTCTCTCTCTCTCTCTCTCTCTCTCTCTCTCTCTTGGTCATAAACTATCCTTGATCTACGTTAATTTTCTCGCCTTCCTACAATTCAAAGCCACTTATCTATTATAATCGAACCCTCATACATAATACAGACAGAATTTACGAGAAAAATAAACGTGCCATCGTTTTGACCGTACAGTAAAGTAGTATTTCGAATAAATATATTATATAAATAATTCAAGTAATATTAGAGAAATATTGTATAAAATATTTTACATTTATCTCAAATAATATTATAAATATTATAAATATATAAATAATATAAATATTATAAATATATAATATAATATAAATATAAATATTATGAATATATAAATAATATAAATATTATAAATATATAAATATATACATATATAAATAATAATATAAATATATAAATATATACATATATAAATAATATGAATATTATAAATATATAAATATATAAATAATATTATGAATATTATAAATATAATAATAATAATATTATAAATATAATAATAATATTACAAATATTATAAATATATAAATATATTTATTTTCCATGCAACGTCTCATTTGTTCACTTGAAATAATTACTTGTTCCTGCATATACACGGGAAGTGTATTTCAATTACGTATTTTTCACGATTAGCCTGAAACAATTGCTCGTAGCGAATATTTCTCTCGTCATTCGTGCAATGTAATATTTGAATATTATTTTCACGAAATAGTAATCCAAGTTCCTGACTGTTGAACTTTGTACACGATTGTCACCACACAGTACGTGACAGGAGATTGGAAAATTACATTTTAAAGTGAATTGTCATTTTCAGCAATAATATTTGAAATAAAGGGAAACAAATTGAAACGAATAAAATATTTAAATACACTCGCGATATCCTCCAAAATATTACTTTTCAAAGCCACACCGCGTGCCAAGTGAAATAAAATACTTCACTGTCATATTTATGACGTACACACGTTCAAATCAATTATACGACCATTTACTATTCTATTTACTGTTTGAAGCAACATTTCAGCCCCCCCCCCCCTCTTTTGCTTTTAATCGAGCAAAGATTCGTGCTGGAACGATAACAATCGGCTCGACCACGAATGGAAACGTTCGTAGAAAAGAAACGCCGTGTTAAAAATTATTTCGTTTACCGGTGGAACGGCTTGATCGTCGCTTTCAGTCACGTTGATTAAACAGACGCCCGCCAGGGGGAGAGAAAGTCGCGGCCAGGTGATTCATCGTGGCGGCCGTGACAGCCGGCGATACATTATGCCCGCGAGCAGATAATCCATTATCGGGCCTCCGGCCGATCGCGATATTCGTTCTCCAGTAGCGGACGACCGGCTCCGTTAACCGCGAGATTAATCTACGTCTTGCCGATTTCCGGCCGGTGTTGCCTCGTTCCAGCCAACGATCCACACCACCGTGCCCCCCCCCCCCCCCCCCCCCTCCTCTCCACGGTTCGTGGAAAATCCATTCAACCACGTCGTTTCGAACGATGTTTCACCATCGTCGGTGGCGATGGTGATCAAATTTGCCAGCGTATGGGATCCCATTCATCCGAAACGACGCCTTTTTTCGTGGTTTCGAAAGGTTAAAGGTGGGGGAGGGAGTGGTGATTTCACGTTTCACTGACGCTCGAATATTCTTCCGTGGTAATGCCGCCCATCCGGAGAAATATCGTTCCCATTCGCGAAGACGTTATTCCGTGAATATGCGCAGCTGCCAAAAAAACGTCTCGGGTTATTTCCTCGCGCAGCCACCCAAAAGTAGATTCCAACTACGACGCGTTTTCTTTACCGACGAGGTTCGTACCGGACTGTGAATTTGACACATTTGTAAATAGAGAAATATTATATTTAATTAACAGGGATACCCAGTTTCTTGAAATTACTGTATGAAATTTTATTTTACTTAGGAATTAATACTTTAAGTAAAATTTACTTTTAGTAAATTAAGCAAATTAGTACTTTTAGTAAATTTTATTTTACTTAGGAATCAATACAGTTTTTAATCTACAATATATCTGTAGTCTGACAAAATTTCCCTTTTTGTAAAATGAGGATGATTTCGAAGTAAAATATTAACTAAGTGTTTATTAAATTTGAAAAAATTTACTGCATGGGGTACCTCCATTGTGTTATTCGTAAAAATATATATATATATTTTGATTAATTTTTACCAACACTTTCAAGCAGACGTTAATAGTCAAGTATATAATAAATTTTTCATTCTAATTTTCATCAGCTGTTATATTCCTTCACCACGTTCAATTCAATAAATAATTCTCGAAATGGATCTGGCAACGCTGTACATATTTTTCAATTCCAATTCTCGTCACTAGTGGCGCTGCGGTGCAAAATCTGCCTGAGGTTCAATTTCAAAAATTCAATTTTAAAAAAATCGAAAGAGCAAAGAACAATCTGTTTCAGACAAAACTCCACAAACGGTATTTCGATAAAATCTCCTCTTGCACTCAATTCAAATTTTTGTCAATTGCTAATTAAATAATGCACGTACACGTGTCACTTGTCCAATGAAACGTAACGCCGTCTCCAAAACAAATCTTAATTTGCGGCCATTCAATGGTAACGAATTCTATTCTCGTGAGTTCCCGCGGGAGAGAAAGGTCGTGGGTTCCCCGGTTCAACCGGGTCGAGGTCGCGCGATTTTAATTCCGGCCAGCGTTCGCCGCTCGCTGGCTAATTAGGTTATGCAAAACAGCTGTTACTCGCCGCTTAATCTAACCTAACCGCGTAAATTTTTCCTTCACCCCATCGGGGATAAAAAACTTCTCCCCTCCCCCCTTTCCCCTCTCAATTCGTTTCATCGCATCGTATTTGCTTCTCGGATGTTATTCATCGAGGAACAGAGACACAAACGAGCTACATGAAAAAAGTTGTGACCCGTAAAACACGGACAGAGCTGTTTCTTACATACACATAACACTGAATGATTTCTGTCGAGTTACTAGCTCCGCACTTTGGTAGTGAAAGTTTTGACAACACCGCAAATCATGTTGCATTCACTAGTTCCCCAACTCGCCGTTGTTTAAACGTGGAGTGCGCTAAGGTACGAGTGATTTTTTTTTTTTTACTCTGTCGGTATTTCAGGTTATGAGCGTCTGTGACAGCGATAAGTTGAAAATTCGTTCCAAGTTGGAAATTTGAGAGACAGGCTCTCGCGGACGAATGGAGATATTTGTCAACAATCGTGCGAACTAGAGTTTCAAAGGAGACTTACCCTTCATACCGAGGACCAGCGCCGCTCTCCCGGACGAAACGGACACTTCTCTATCGATCGATCGATCGATCGATGACTGCTGCGCGCCACCTGGACGACCACACGACTCTCGAACAACGACGAAATTCAACGAACTTCACGATCACTGGCGATCACACCGCGCAACACCAACGATCTGTCCACGGTTTCAGGAACACGAAACACTCCCTGCAAAGAAGAAGAAATGTCATCGGTTACTTTAAAGACTTCTAATCTTTTAGCCTGGCATTGTACGCTCCAACAATGGAGCTAGAATAGTGTCGTCAAATGACGAGTTTAGATAGGAATATTTATTTTGTACCTTTTGTATTGGGGCTAATTAATTTATTTTGAGAATTTCAATTATCTCGAAAGTAAATGATCTAAATATATATATATATATATATATATATATATTTTGTAAAATAAAAAAATAGATATATATTTGGAAATTAAATGTTTGTCGTATTTATTAATATCTAGTTTTTTTTTTAAATAAATTTAATTTATGTACAAAAACGCATTTTCATCATTCAGAAATGAGTCTTTTATATGCGCGTTATAGAGGTTATAAACCTGCTGTACATTGTTTCACCGAATAGTTGACAATGGCTCGCGCGAATCCCGGGAGGGGGGGGGGGGGGACGCAACAACACGCCCCATATTTAGAATTCAAACGAGGATCAAACGTTCGTGGATTTCCACGCGCGTGTAACGCGCACGTGGCTGTAAAATTAGAATCGATCCGCGCGTGCTCGCTTAATTGCAGGCTGTTTTATCGTTGCAGTCACGAACTCTCGTGGAAACGGATCTAGGTTATTAGGCGCGTTCGTGCCGGAATTTACAACCCTCCCCTGAACAAAGTTTCTTTTTTCGCTGGGTTGCGGTCTAATTAAAAATATAAGAAACTCGGGCAAATTGAATATCCGACGTTCGAGGGGCTGGAACGATTTTTTTTTAAAGCTGTTACTTGTAATTTCCACCGAGCTGTTGAACCTTCGACAAAGAAAAAAAGCGGGAAAAAAGGATTTGAGTTCTCTTAAATTTTTCTTGTTTCACTGAAATGTTCACAATAGAGAGAGAGAGAAAAAAAAACAAACTGCACAGCAAGTTTCAGTCTTCTAGTGGTCGATTCTCGAGTTGCGAGAAACATTGTTCAATGTCTGAATTTATCACGCTGATTTCATTGAGAATGAACAGTATCTTCACTTGTCGGGTATATATAAAAATACCTACTACACTCGCGTAGTGTGAAGATATTTTTCTAAAAAATGAACCCACGACTGTGAAAATAGAAACTTGTAATTTATTATAATTTATTAATATTATTATTATATTATTATATTGTTGATTGTAATTTATTAATATTATTATTATATTATTATTATATTATTAATTATAATTTATTAATATTATTATTATATTATTAATAATAATATTAATATTATAAATTAATATTATAATATATATAATAATAATAATATAATAATAATGATAATAATAATAACAGTATAATACTAATATAATAATAATGATAATAATAATAATATAATACTAATATAATAATAATGACAATAATAATAATATAATACTAATATAATAATAATGATAATAATAATAATAATATTATAATAATATATAATTTATTTATCGTCAATTTTTCGAAATATTGTTAAATTTACTATACAATGACTTTCATCAATATTCAGGGACTAATTTAAATTTTTGATTTTAAGAATATTCACCGAATACCCAATCCATTGCATTATCGCTTTGATGGTAATTAACAAAGGCACGTTAGACGTGCGCGGATTAGCTTTCAGCTGAATTAAAATTAGACCAGCGAAGTTTGTTAGCCATGGATTATCGCGAGCCAAAGCGATTAGACAGTTACACATAGCGGCGGCGTCAAAACGGAATATCTGCGTTTACGGTATTAGACGAGATTACCGCGTACGGATCTGAAACGAAATCCTATTAGATCAATTAATATATTAAGCTAAAGGCAAACAAATCACCGTGCACGGATCACTGCGTGCCCTTCGGTGAATTTACATCGTTTGCCAAACTCGAGCCGGCTCGCGGTGTGTTTCGTCCAAAAGCGGATAATTCACAAACAATCGCAGTGTACGGTGTACGCACATGTGTGTAACGTTCACGTTCTACGTGTATACTCTATAAGCAGAATGTATTATTCTAGTTCATTGTTTGCAAGTTTTATTGCATTATATTATTCTATTGTGGGGGCAATGTTTTGCTGTATTCTTCATTGTGTTGTTTATATTCTTTGTAAGTAAAATTTCCATAGTACTGCCATAGATTTAGGTTACGTTTAGGTTAGGTCAGGTGTATACACACAGTTATTTTCTGTTGAAGGTATGAGAAAATGTTTCCAGGTAATATTGTAATCATTTTGTTATTACTTTGATTTTTGGTATACCAAGGATCACCTTCGGCTGTTTCTTTTTAATAGAATGATGTATATTTTGATCAGTGAATCCATAAATCCAATGACATATGTTTTGATCCATTAATCCAAAAGGAAAATTGATTTATGTATGTTGGAAAACTATTGGTAGAAACTAAGAGGCATTTTTTTATTAATTTTAAAACCAAGAGACAAGGAAAAACAGGAGCAATGTGCTTGTGTTCGTTTTTCATGCATAGATTTTATGAAATTGAAGCTCGCCTCTGTCAAAATGATCAGTGTCTTCGTTTATATTTATAAATTTATATTAAGTGAGTTGATTTCTTTATACCCAAATCGTTTAAAGGAAAACCTCATGGAAGAAGGAGGTAATTACAATAGAAAAATAAAAATTAAACGAGACATTTTCTTTATACCCAAATCGTTTAAAAGAAACCCTCGTGGAAGAAGGAGGTAATTACAATAGAAAAATAAAAATTAAGTGAGACATTTTCTTTGTATTAAATACGTTTAAAAGAAACCCTCATGAAAGAAGGAGGTAATTACAATAGAAAAAGGTAATTACAATAAAAATGAAAAATTGAAAATTTTCTAAAATAGAAAAATAAAAATAAAAAATTCAAAATTTTTTACAATGGAAAAATGAAACTGAAAAATTTAAAATTTTCTAAAATAGAAAAATAAAAATAAAAAATTCAAAATTTATTAGAGTAGAAAAATAAAAATAAAAAATTGAAAATTTTCTAGAATAGAAAAATAAAAATGAAAAATTCAACATCTTTTAGGATAGAAAAATAAAAAAAAAAAAATTGAAAATACGTCATGTTCGCTGAAACGTCTTGTTCTACAATCGCCAGTCCCGAATGCGTGAAAATACGAAAATCGAGGGAAAGTTCAAAGTTTCGACGCTTCCAAATAAAGTCACTTTCGTGTTCGAATTAGAAATTAAATGACCCCCCCCCCCCCAAAAAAAAAGAAAGAAAGAAGAAAAGTAACGTCAATAACCAGAACAGCGGAGAGGGGGGAGGGAGAGAAAATTCTCTCCCGTGGAAAAGTGTCAAGGAAAATGGGCGCAGCGTCGCGTCGTTTGGGGCGCGAAGGAGGGAGGGGGGCGCGCACGTAATGAAATTCCTTCGGGCGTCGCGAGAAAGAAAGGAAACTCGATAAGGCGGCCGTGGGCCGAACGAGCGTCCCACACCGAGTAACCATTCCGCGCGAGAGATTCGAGGTCCTGCTCCCATGGGGGAAACAGGCCGGCCAATTTACGACCGACGCTCGAAAACGTAATCGCGTTCCGGTGGCAGAGAGGGAACCCTCGCTTCTACGCCCCTGTTTTTACTTACCGAACGTCGGTAAATCTGCTTTCTCTCTTCTATTTTTTTTTTTTTTTTTTGTTCTCTGTGTCTTCCTCTCGTTCTTTTCGCCGAAGTTTCGTTGGAAACGGGCGAATTAAGCTCAAGGATTATCCCTCGCGAACGTAGGTTTGTTAAGGCGCGATTGAAATCAATTCGAGCGGTCATCAACACGCGAGAGTGAGGTTAGGTTTTCGTCGCCGAAGTGCGAAACTGCGGTCTACAAGTTATAACTCGAGATAACGAAGGTTTAATTCGAATAGTTTGCAAGTGTTCATTCAGCCCGGAGCACGGTTCATTAAGTCGAAAAAATTCTAACCGACGACCGAGTTAACTCTCGACGATGGTTCCTTTCGTGGAGAGAGCAGGATTTCTTTGAACGTCAATTAATTTTCCATCCGGATTCGAAAACGATCGAGACTGCAACCGACTTTCCTCGTCGATTCTACATTCCTACGTTGCCGATCGTTCTCAGATTCGAGGAGAAATCGGAGAACCGAGTCGAGAGAGCTCAAGAGGAATTCTCGCGAATTAGTCAAAGTTAATTCCAAGAAAACTCCAAGAGTTGATCAACGATTAGTAGATTTTTATTATCAACATTGGTAATCGAGTAATTCACATTTTTTGTACTTTGATCGAACGTTATCTCGTGTTTGGGGCGAAGAGTTAAATCAACGATCGGAGATTCGATTTTTATAATCGACATTCAAGTGATTTATGTTTCACGTTTTAAATGATGATCATTCGTCGTAATTAATGATTTTTCAGTTGTCTAAGTTAGTCGTTAGTTGCGATGAACTGTGACAGATCAACAATTGGCTATAATTGACGATCGACGTTGCCGATTTTTCGACGATTCAATTTTAATTCAATGATTGACAATTCTGCTTATTGATTCAACCAATCCGTTGATCTCTCGACGATTAATTTCCATTTTCCAATCTGATTGATTAATTCTATTTATGAAATCGGTCGCCGATTTTTCGAGCCAAATGTTAGTTTTCAAAACTAATATGTATCGATCGATCAGTGGCCAACGTTGGACAGAATCTGACCGTGACTCTTCCGAATCATTCGATAACTTTCAAACTGAAACTGACAGCGAGTTTAATTGCCACGGGGGAGGGGGGGGGGGGCGATTTTTCAGTCGAAAATCCTCCGTGGTTCGAGGATTAGTTCGCAACTCGGATTTAATGTAATTGCATGGGTTCTCGGGCGCCATCATTTTTCCACGTAATTCGTAATTAAATCGTTCTCGAAATCGGCTCTACGATATTCGCTCGTCAACTTTAAACTCCGCAGTCACTCTCCCTCAAGAAAGATCGAATTGCGTGGCGACGAGAATTCTTCAAGAACCTAGAACCTCTTTCCTTCTTTCTCTTTTTTTTTTCTAACCAATTATCAGGAGG